GGGCGATTGTTGTCCAGTAAACGAACCTATGGGCGGTCAGAGTTGGTGCCTCGCCACCCTAGTAGTGTGATTGGGTTAAGTACGAAAAAGTAAGGCATTCTCGATCTTTCCTAGACGTTTACTTGATCCATTTTATCGCGGTGAGAACTACCTTGCACGATCACCGACAGACTGCCCGAACCATCACTAGAGGCGGCGGCGGCGGCGAACCTCTGAACGACGTCGTTGTCGTGAAAACTTTATGTCCAGCGATTTATCATAGGTATAACGAGTGAGAAGTGCGACGACCTTAGTGTACCCGGTCAATATAGAACCCAGCAGTACGACAGGCCAGATGGCTATTCTCGTTCAGTTGATGACACTGATTTAGGCGACGTTATCGGTCATCTACCTATCGAAGGAAGGACAAATGGTACGGAACCGGATACTCAACTACGAGTAGTGAAAGGCAGTGATATTGCCCGTATTGTGCCTGGATCGAAGGATTTGGTTATCGAAAAAGAGCTGGACCGAGATGAGGTGAAAATCTATCCTCTCCTGCCGTCTTTATCCTTGCAAGGCAACTGGTACATTTTTTGTGTTTCCCTTTACCAGCAGAGAGATGATTGAAGTAGAGCTCAGCACCTTTGGGAGCACGACCTCGATCTTGTGGGGGAAGGGGGGGGGTACAAGGTGTAGTACGCGGCTGGGGAGGGAGAGAGTGTATCCCCCTCCCTCCTTCCCTCCCTCTTGAGAGGAGTTTTTCACATCATGCGAGAAATCCTTGTTCCTGGCACGCTAGAAACCTCTTTCGCCCCTTTCAAAACGGTTTTGGGGAGAAACTTCGGCAAAATTGCTGAAAAATCGTAGAAACTTCTAGGAAATTGGTGAGCCATGTTGTGACAGAGGATCGAATAGGAATTTTGAACAGATCCTACTGACACCGCCACTAAACCCATCGCCATGGTTGGACCTTGGTCGAAGTGCTGCTAGTGTTCGACAAAAGACCATTTTTTGAACCCTCCTCATGTCTCGACCAGTACAGTTCCCTTTTAGTCACTCTGCTATCTATTTTTGCCCCTTCAGGTAGCTCCAGCGAGAATACACGCATTCCCCAAGTAAGTGCTAGCAGGCAATTTAGCGTTCGACCTCGATTCGATCACCAATTATACTAGTTATCTCACGCTCGTACTTGTCAGAGAGAGAACGGGTTAGGACAGCGTCGCTGAGGAGAGCCGGAATCGTGGGGACTAAAAGAGGTTCCATGAACAAGAACTTCTGAAAGTTTGTAAAAGCTCTACGAACTTCTTGTGGGGTACACGGCATGGATTATAGAACTCTTACAAGAAATTACTTTCTTTTTCTCTCCTTATGAAATTGAAACGGCCAGTAGAAGGGCAAGCAATCAGCGCTGTTGAGTCTCGTTCTAGCATGCGCCATGCACTCTACTCCATCTAGAGTCATGAGGGGGTCTGAATGCGTTCACAATGGATTGGCGTACACAGTAGATCCACCTTGCTTTTGTCCTTCCACACCAGTTTTGTAGAAGATAACCGTCGCAAAGGGATCGAAGGTAGGCTGACCCTGTTGGGAGCCAACGCAGGATTTTTACGTGTGGTAAGCAGAGCTATGTATCAGGCAACCAATAAAAGTTCGTGCGGTTTTTTTTCAACCGGAAATTTCGTTCCGAAGATGAAATGTTTTGCTAGCAAGCTTGATATCGTCTGATAGGAAACTTCACGTAGTTTTAGAATATCAAAACGGTTTCGGTTGAGGGAATAATTTTTGTGGATTTTTTAGTCGTTGAAGTTGAAAGCGAAGTCGGCGAAAATTAGCACCTTCGACAACTGCCTCTATTTACGTATAGTCGAAGTGCTAAAATCGCTTAAGCTGCTCCATACATTTGGAAAAGATTCGACTAGACGTTCCAGCAAGGGAATCTCACTAGGACGCTTCGGAACGAATTTCAAGAATTTTGAAAATACTACCTTCACCTCGCCGATATTGGGCAGCTCACGTCTGTTCCACCTAAAATTTTATGCTAATATTTGAATGTTTCGCTGATATGTTTGCATGTTCTGATAGCAAATTTCGTGCTCTATATCACTACTATAGAAATCTGTTTTCCAGAGGTGCTTTTGTTTTCTGTTAAGTTCAGGTTATCATTACGGAACGCGAAGTCGTTGAGAACTAGCGTTCCCGTTCTCCACGAATTTTATGCTAACATTTGAATGTTTCGCTAATGTGTCTACATTTTCTGATAGCCATTCGTGCTCTGATAACAGCGGGCCGCGTTGTTATTTTGAAAAATCGCTTCGGTGAACCTTGTTTTCTTTTCAGGTGTATAAATGGAATATGGGGTCAGGGTCGATAAGCATCAGCACTTCAGACATCATCCTGTTTCGCATTCAGCAGAGGTATCAGTACCATTCTTGAAGCGTCTGAACCAATTTTGGGCTGTTTTGAGAGAGAGGGCATCTTCTCCGTACACTTCGGAATTTCCCGAGCAGCATCAGCAGCTCTGATACCTCTGTTGAATGCGAAAAGGAGGAGATGTCTGAAGTGCTGATGCTTATCGACCTGACATTCCATATTATCCACCTGAAAAAGGTTTCACCTAAAGGATTTTCAAAATAACAATGCAGGTGTTATAGAGCACGAAATTGGCTATCAGAACATATAGAACACATTAGCGAAACATTCAAATGTTAGCATAAAATTCGTGGAGAACGGGAACGCTAGTTCTCAACGACTTCGCGTTCCGTAATGATAACCTGAACTTAACAGAAAGCAAACACCTTCTGGAAAACAGATTTCTATAGCAGTGTTATAGAGCACGAAATTTGCTATCAGAACATGCAAAACATATCAGCGAAACATTCAAATATTAGCATAAAATTTCAGGTGGAACAGACGTGAGCTGCCCAATATCGGCGAGGTGAAGGTTGGTAACTTCAAAATTCTTGAAATTCGTTCCAAAGCGTCCTAGTGAGATTCCCTTGCTGGAACTTCTAGCTCGACCTTTTCCAAATTATGGAGCACTTGAGCGATTTAAAAACTTCGACTATACGTAAATAGAGGCAGTGTCGAGTGCTAATTTTCGCCGACTTCGCTTTCAACTTCAACGACTAAAAATCCACAAAAATTATTCCCTCAACCGAAGCCGTTTTGATATTCTAAAACTACGTGAAGTTTCCTATCAGATGATATCAAAGCTTGCTAGCAAAACATTTCATCTTTGGAACGAAATTTCCGGTTGAAAAAAAACGAAAGTACTTATGTGCCAACCCAATATTTAGGGCGAAGAAAAAGTTCGTGCGGAGTTTTTTTTTGTTTTACTTTATGAAGTATATTCAGTAAACTGGATCTAGTGGTAGGGTAACTTTGAATACATGTTAGACATATGTCAAGGAGTGTCATTCAGTGTATTTGTTAATTTAGATTACTTTCAATTAAGGCGAACAGAAAAAAGTTGTGGTTTTCCACCAGGACAATGCTAGACCACGCACTGCAAGAATCACTCAGGAAAACAATAGCGCGACTAGGATGGGAAATTCTACCTCACCCTCCGTACTCGCCAGACCTTGCTCCAAGTGACTATCATCTGTTTTTGGCCTTGGACAACCACATGAGGAATCGGCGATTTGAAAATGAAGTGGCTTTGGACTAAAACATTTCTTTGATTCCCAGAAGCAAGATTTTTACAAAAATGGAACATATACTCTTGTGTCGAAATGGGAAAGTGTATTACTTGTTGATAATTATTTTTTGGATAAATCTAAGTTTTTTCCGTTTTTTATGTTATTATTTCGCTACCTTGAAAACCGCACGAACGTTTTTGGTTCCTAATATTTGTGATTGCCACGCAGGCTCACAACCTCCCGCCCCCCCAGCCAAAACTGTCCGGAGCTCCTCTAGTTTCCGCGAATGTGGTGCAATGAGCAGTGCTGCAGCAACCACGCTTGTTATGAGACTCCTGTCTCAGAGAACTTTGGCTAAGTCAACTAAGAATTTCCATATGTCAGAGCTGCATAGTGGTGCCAACTAGATCGTCCATTGGCCAAATATCCTTTCAAAGTTTTCGCGATCCTGGATGGAAGTCGAACTCGTGGCGCATCTAAGAAAAAAATGATCAACTCGGAGCGCTTTTAGTTGGCTATTACGAAGTGCATTTGCAAGAGACTGACAAGGCGCTCGAAGGAGAAGTGGGTGAAGATGAGGTTGGGCCAAAAGTGGTGATACATGTAGCCTGTCGGTGTTTCTAGGTGTTTTGTGAGGTTTCAATGCGAAAAAGATGTAGAAGCCATTTACATTATATCTATCATAAAAGTTAAACAGGTTTGTCCGTAAAATCCTATGCAAGATCTGTCTGGGAAAGTCTGAGATGGCGCGGGCCAACAACTAACTTTCAGCAGTACCGCGCATTTGTAATTGGCTTTTCGAATTGAGAAACCGAAAATTGTTTTGAAAGGGTTTCTGGGCCTGTGCCATTCTTTCCCCAGCAATTTTCGCATATGTTCCAGTGTATCCGATTTTTAGCATTCGCTGACTTTCTAGTGAAATCATCAATATTTAGGGGTCAAGGTAAATTCGAGTTAGTGGTTGAAATGTATATCCCAAAATCTCGACAGCGTTTAGTCAGGTAACTTCTACACGGGGTTGCATGATTCTGAAATTCGATCCCCTCTCAATCGATATCAGTTTTTCAGCTTCAACATCTCAGTATCGTGCACTGTGCAGGACGTCAACGATAAGATGGCACCCAGTCCTTTGATGCCTTGAGTATAGATATTAAGTATCAGGAGGAAGTACTAAAGGGTGAGTGTTGTCAGGGCACTGCACAGGCTTGTGTCTAGAAGACGACAAATTTTTTTTTTTTCTCATTTTTATGGGGGAACTGTTGCTAAGAATCTCGAGTGGGCGAGCGCGGATCGAAATATCATTTGGTGAGCTCCTCTTCTCCGCCTGTTCTCCGTCGTAAAGGGGGCGGTAAAGGAGGAAACTTGCGGCTCCGGCCGCACATGGCAGCCCTGGAGCTCATGCTAACGTTCTCAGACACAATCGTCTTCACCGACTTTGAAGCAACGGATCGCGATCAACCGGGGCCGAACAGTTTTATACTTTATTCGATAGCTCAAGGTGCACACTCCGATCTTCTTGAAATTGCTGACCCTTTCCGTCCAGTAGTTACGATAAAGGTAAGAATGCATAAGTTGTTGCGCTCTAAGCTGATCACACGCTATTTCTCTATTTTTCCTTTTCAGAACGCTGGCAAAAAAAAAAAATTAGACAAAAAAAATTTTTTTGTTAAACGAGATCAAAAAATCCCGGAATTTTGATGTGATTCTGGAGGCCCGGATCATGGTGACCATGCGCTTGTCAACCCTCGGCCCACTTCACTCACCGTTGAGACGTGCAGATTGACCGCGTCCCTCCTACTTTCAAAATCAATACGACATCATGCATAGTATGGAAAGTATGCTCTTAGATTACTTAAATGGGCATACTGTCAGGAAAGCGCGCCATACAGCAGAAGCTTCAAGATTTCCTTCCGAATTTCGCGATATTCAGGCTGGGTACCCAAAGAAATGGTATCGCAGTGATAACAGCTTGAGTTCCATTTGTAATAGGAGAAAACAGGAAATGAACTCATATTTGAAAACTTTATTGAACAAGTTCGATCCACGCTTTGATAACATAAAATCGATTGCAAAGCGCTGAAATTAGGTTTATGATGAAACAACGAGAACAAGGTTTTTCTTACTAGGAAACTGGAAAATTTCAGATTTTAATTACTTTTGTTAAGTGAGGTTGATAAATGAAAAGTTCTCCATACCGTCCGAATGTTTCGAGCTTTTCTCATTCATGAAAGACGTGAAAATCGCTCGAAGATTTTAATTCGTGAGCTTCCCTAGCAAACGCTTTACCCACCCTTCTGATGTGTCCCGGACATTCTGATCAACCAGGTAATAACAGCAAATTACTCACTAAAGATCCTACCCGTGCGCGGCCTTTTTCACATGGGAAGCTTTATTTATGAGCTTATGAATTCACTAAAAATGAACAGTTCTTCGGCTACTCTTGCTGAGCAATTATTTGAGCTTCTTGTTCTGCAGAAGCGCGTTTCGCCCTTCGTTATGTTCGGCCATAACCAGCTTGAAATTTTCGTGAAACTAACTTCAGAATCTTTTCGAAACATTTCACGTTTTATGAATATCACTTTAAAGTCCCAGTTATTCGCTGAACTCCTCCCTTCGAATAGGGAGGCTATTTTCCCCATAACCATTTCGAGGTGTCAGTGGAGTACACGCCGTGATGTCTTGCACCAACAATAAGCCCTGTCTGCAGCCATTACTAGCCTAATTACTGAATAAAGCGTGGTGATAAATGAGATTACTCGCGAACATCGCAGACATTGACGAAGCTTCCGCGTCCACTCGGACACCTAAAAGCGCCAATTCAAATTGTCCCATCAACGACAAAGGGATCCAAGAGAAGCCTCGACCTTGCCGCTCTCGCAATACTCGCTCAAACGCAGGCATGCGCCGAACATAGCCAGTAAAGCAGTGGAAGCTTCGTAAGAACAAATTCATAGCATTGGAAAAGAAATCTCCAGTCTTGGGGGACATTTTTGCAGAATATAGCCCCACGAGCTTCTTCCCTCTTATGGCTTTCCCTTCTCTATCCTACAGAAAAAATTCCTTAAGTCCAAATTCGACCCCCCTCCCTCTTGAAGTGAGCAAGTGCGAACTAGACTACGAGCAGGGTAGTCGTACTCATTATCCACCCACAAACCTATTAGTGTAGTGCATTCCGAAGGAAGTTGACCATCATCCGAAGCTTTATACCTTATTAGGGCTAATTAACCCAATTATAATTACAGAACAATCAGCTCGTCGTTGAGCCAGAGGCAATTAAGGCTCGTGACGGTGACGAACTGGATGCCGACATTGAGTATGGGATCTTTGGAGGTAATCACTTCACACTAAAACAGATTGGGTCTCAAACAGTCTGTGCGTTCGTGAGTGAGCGAGTTTCTTGAAAGGCTCCTGAATCATAGTAATTTTCAGAGTTCTCAAATCATTTCTCAATCAATAACGATGGAGATATTATCGTGACGTTGAGCCCTCCACCTCCTCGAGCAACGTTTTTCGTTTATGTGAGTTTGAAAATTCGGGGAAATATGAACATGAGAAATACTTCCTGTGAGTAACACAGACGTTTTTTTTCTTATGGGCAGGCTGACAGTGAGATACTTTCGGGCAAAGTTCAGTTTAAAGCCTTCATCCAGATAGTAGAAGAGAGTGCCGCGAGTTTAGCCAGTGGGAAGGGGCCATTGCCAAACGATCACTGGATCAAACTCCATTCGGTGTACGGAACCCTTCTTTATTGCAACGGTTATTTGGCACATTCATATGGGATGATGAAAACTCCTTTGCTAATGAACAGGTTCACAGTTTGTTGTATTAGTCACATAAGCTTTAAATGCAAAAATGAGGTTGAGTCAAGGAGCTCTCAAAAGTGGGTGATTAACATCAAGTTCACACTTCCCTGGTAGATTAACGCATGCTCATGACGCTACAAATTCGTCCAAGGAGGGTGAACTCTGGGGAAGGTAAACCACCTATCATTCGCAGAAAATTCAAAGTTTCGAAGTGGACCACCTTCGGTCCTCTCAAATTCGCTGGGACTACTGATCACTGCTCTGATAATGTCCTCTTGAACAGTACAGGCAGGCACACAGACGCGCGCACACGCACGCACGTGCGCACATTCGGCTGCTGTAAGTGAGAGACATTCTAAGGAGTAAACTCGTTGAATGTACGGCGCGCAATACACACTGGTGGGGAGCTGAGAGGTCTGGTCGCTAACATTGTGTAAGTTTTTGCTATACTTTCATGAAAGAACATGAAAGCATTGGACGTAGACAGCGTTGAGGCGTCCACCACTCAACTAGTGGTAGACGCTGACCCCACAAACGCCATTCCCGTGGCCAATTCTTTATCTGATATTGGTGTAACACCTCCCTTATTCCATCTCTAATTCCCTGGATGACATGCCACAAGAGAACGGCCGCTTCGCGACCGCGCGCTCGGTATTCATATGCTTGGTCTTCATTCATATGAGAACTAAGTTGTGACGTCAAGTTTGCGCTTAATTTCACGTGATAAGTCAATATTCGTCAAGAGAACTTACCGATGCCGCATCCACTCAGGTCCGTCCAAACGAAAAAAATTTGTTCAGCTGATTACTAGTTGCTAATGCAGTACTAGCAGCGGAGGTCCCCGGCGCTATATTTCCCCCATTTTTCTAAAAGGACATTCTGCCTGCGTTGATTGGAGCTCCTCAAAGTTGCTCCAATTATGATCAACTGAAGAAATGTGCGAAACACCGTAGTCGAGCGATGGTGCAATTTTAGCGAGTTCAGGGACAGGTTTACCCACTTCTTCAATTTGCCTTAACCTCTTACTTTTTACCAAGCTTCGGCTCTGAATAGCCTTCTATGACCGCTGCTACTTCATATATCTTGTGTACTAATGATAACCAGCTCGCCCATTTTGGAGTCCCATCGCCTCGAAAAAAATCATCCCGGAGTTGATCATTCGTTTTTCCGCATTCTTGGGTACTTTGGCCATCCATCTGTCCGAACTTTCACCTTTCATGGCAGGACCACGGGAAAAAGTTCAACCAGACGCGTAACTTCGCGCATGGACCAGTTTCTTTGAGCTTAGATAAATGAGTTGTGTCCGTAATGACAAGCTGACCTTGTGCGATGCCATTTTCGTTTTTGCGATATTACTTGTTATTCGAATCGTCATGTCATTTCTTTACATGGTTTCATCAAAATTTTGATTTCGTTCGCTAGCGATGAAACAGGGCTTGCGAACGAGTTGCTTTTGATTCAGTCATTTCCAATGCTCGGTTCTTATTTGAGGCTCGCGAAAAAGGCAATCCAGAGAAGAACGCCACCGCAATCGTTTCTGTCTCGCTTGAAAAGTCAATACGATTTGAGCATGATTCCTACTCCCTCAGGGTACGGTATTTGTTTAATTCGTAAAGAGTTTTGAAAAGGCGATGCGCTCTACTTTCAGGTAACACCGTCCATGCCAATGCATACTGTTTTGCTCACAGTGAAGGCATTTTCGAGTCAAGTACGTCTTCCAATGACTTGTAATTTACTAGCAAAGCCACAGGAAATGTCATCTTTCAGGGTGCACCAGTTCGCTATTCACTGGGGAATGTGAATGCTGTTGTGTCCGTGGGCGAAACTACTGGACAATTGACATTCGCTGGACTACCAAAAGTGAAAGCAGGGATTCTTCAGTATGAGTTACTGGCCACAAATCGATTAGAGGTCAGTAACGGGCAAAATATGTGGCTTTAAACGGGAGCGGAGCTTGGGCTTTCAAACTGTTGTACTTATTCAATATACTGTCAAGACATTTCCTCAGCTACATTTACTGAAACTCTCAGTACCCCCTTTTTCCCGGTCATGGAGAGGGTGTGACTGCGTATTTCCTTTGAGGGAGGGAGGGGGGAGGCTCCGCTTTTGTTATGATATTGCAGTTTTGAGACAATCGTAATCATGTTTTGTCCTGTACATGACAGGATGACGGCTGCCTCAAAAGAAGAAGGCTCACTAAATCCGCTTGCTACACATGTTCAGGTGAGGTGCGCCGCCACGCCTCCAACATATACGGATATAGTGTAGGCGCATACGGATACCTGTCTCTGTCGGTATATTTGACGCTGACGTTTCGAACCTGACTGGTTGTGAGCAGAAATAATTCCAAGATTTCTGCCCACGGGATAGATTTCTACATAAGCACTTTTGCTGAGGAAAGTGTTACGTGCCTGGCGCTTCTGATGTCCTCATATTGAGTGACGAAAAGTATGGCGCCTAGCAAGTACGGTTTATATCTCGATCCCAGAAGGGGAGTGTTCACGGACTTCGCTGAGCACGAGAAAATCATGATGAATCCTCCACTCCTCTGCCTGATTGGGCAGCTGCTGCTCAATCATGAGCCAGTAGGCTGTAAGTAGCTCCCCAGTAGAGAAAAATCTTGGGAACACTTTGAACAGAGACTCTCTTGACAGTGGGCGCTTTGGACGAGTTTGTCGGACGTCAGCAAGCCCAATCAGCAGGATTCGACGTGCAACGATTCCCGGCAAGAGCACAGGAAATCACCCTACGACGCTCCAGGCAACGCTATGTACACACGCAATTCCGCTTGTAAGCCGTTGTCTTGCAGAGTGAAAGTAATCGTGGTTGCAATGGTTGCAATAATCACGCGTCTCTAGCTTCCTTCTTCCTTACCTCGCCGTTCCGAGTGACGAAAGCGGCATATTCCCGCAAATGAAGGCAACGATGCCAAATGAACGGAGCATTTCGCGGTGGGCGGATCGCGGAAACTGTGTTCAACCAATGGGTCGTAGTCAGGGCACATCGTACGTTGTGAAGCCCCCAGAGCGAGAAGGTGGTACTCGGTCGGGGGAGGGTGGGGTACCGTAGTTTCCTTGAAACTATTTTTTGATAGTCATTTAACTTGTTTTCACGCGAGATATCTACACCGCTCCATGGGAGTGGGAGTACCTTCAAAAAATTCTCTATAGCGGCCGCCGTGGTCATAGCGACATCGTCAATTGAGGGTATAGCTGGGCTCTTCCCAATTCTTATTCATGGGATTGCACTTTAGACCAATTTCTCATTTTTCAGACTACGAAAGCGAAACTGACGGTGGTGGTTGAGTCCGAGTCGGGTTGCTGTTCACGGATGGAATTCGAGAAACCGGAATACCATCTACAGATGGGTTCATTCCCTGTGATCGGTACCATCAACGTTCGTGGACAACAAAAGCCAAATTACAGGCTCATGAATATGAACAAGTTAGTTACTTTCTCCAAAGTTAAGAGCTTGTAGTGTTATTACAAGCATTCGACAAAATACGCTCTTGCTTGCAATGGACACGGGGGCTTCCAAAGGAGCTGGGTATGGCGCGGCGCTAGCCTGTTATTCACCCTTGTGCTACCTAGCCGACCTCCAGAATTGGTGGAGATACGCTGGAGCCAGATCAGCCCAAAAGGCCCCAAGCGTGTGCAGCGATCACAGCCCTGCGGATTCTGGGGTTACTTCTTGCCTTTCCAATGTCTCTCTCAGATGACTTTTTCTTACTGCTTTCGAGCTAAACAAACCTTTTGCAATAGGGAGGTACAGCAATCATAGGAGAACAACAGCGTGTAAGTACAGATACTTCTGACTCGTCTATGCGGCGAAATCCGGAAACAGATGCCTTAGCCAAACCACACAACGTCGGGGCATGCGCTGCCCTTGACAACTTTGCTCGTTGACACAGTAATAGCGTGTTTTTGTAAATTGTACCGTAACACACGTACCAATTTAGGTATTTTCTCGTCGACCAGGATGGTGTGGTACGCCTTCAACTCGAATCACGTCCACCTTGTGCCACATGTGAATTGGTTGTTTTGGCTACAAGAGACGATGGAGCTACAAGTGTGGCAAAGGTACTTTCAGATCACTAACAGTCTATCTGTAGTAGTACGTCAATGCAATACTCTAGAGAAGAATCGGATCATATGATTCGCTTGTTGTGCAGCACAGAGACCCAATAAATATTCCTTGTAGAACACAGCATACAAGGCACATCATTAATTGGGGATTTTGGTCTACTCCGTACACCCCCCCCTCCCTTTTTTTGTGGGGGTTGGTACGACACCCCGGTTCCCTCTTCATCCGGCTGTCGACAGGGAGAGACTTCCTCTCTACCATTTCTTGGACTCTCTCCAACTTACTACCACCTTTTCTCGAACATTTTCTTACTTCTACCCAGGAATTCTGCTGTCGATCAAGGACTGTATTGTACAAATGAAACAGGAAAAACCACAAAAAAGCAAGCAAACCTTTGGAACAGTCACAAGAGGAATATATGATTCTCCCCCCCCCCTTCACGACGTCCCTGAAGCAAGAAAATTAACTATAAGAAAAATTCTACTAGTTCTACTAATTGCTCCATCGACCGACGCCGGTTGACTGCTTCGTTTCATTGCGAAAACCAAAGTTTCTCAGCCCAAATATGATCCCCTCTCCCAGCAACCAAATAGGGCCCCCCTCGCTGGTGGCAGATTTTCGAGGAAAAATTCTGGTGGCCCACAATAGTGAGCGCCATCCAGCTGCTCAGAATGATAATGTGGTGTAGCCTGAGGGATACCATACCGTGGCATCATTTGAGCTCTGGCTCAACACAGTATCCCTACTCCTCTTGACAGACAAGCAATTAGGCGATGTGAAAAGTTAGCCCGACATGAAGATGACTAGCGCAAACTAGTACAGTATTACTGAGCTGATTTGACATCACTGGTGCATTAAACAATTAGGCACTAGTGCAAGTGCCTCGGGATGTGATAACACTTCTGGCGCCTCCTTTGCCGCCCTCGCTGCCCGCTGCTACGAAAAATGGACCCTCCCCTCTCTGCAGATCACCGAATATCGCTTGTGTGTGGCTGAATTCATTCGTCGAGTAAGGTAGGTGCCACTGGTGGGCTCGCACGTACGAGTCCTGCTGCCGCCGGGCTCTGTTGAAATTGTTTAAGAATGTCTCAAAGCATATTGTTTATTGTTAATCCTGCTGACTGCTTGTTCCATTTTTTATATGGATGATCATGCATGTGTTTTTTCCGCATTCAAGTAAAGGGGTGTAAGACTGGTCCCACGTTATTTGTTCAAAATTACTGATCCAATTTTGGGCTTTTCGGAACTTGTGAATACGCGGTCTTCGAGACTCACTTGTATGTCGGTAATGCAACTCCGGAATTGTCGCACCGCGGCCGCGCGCTAGACGCCGCGAGGCGATGTGATGTGCCTCTGGTCGTTGGGTGGCGACGCGACGTGACCTGACTTGCCGACGATAGAATCGCCCGGGTCCCACGAATATCGCACGACTGAATTTGATCGAGAATAGCTCTCAGTAGACCTATAGATGCACAGTCCACGTCAAATGTGCAGGCAAAGACAGTAAATCACCATAACTTCATTGATGCACCCTCTCCACCGCTTCATAAGCATGGGCACAGATTGAGGAGAGCACGAGGGTCGACTTTCTCCGCCCATACCGCCAGCGTAAACTTTACTTAACGAAAGTGGGCATGATAGGGGGCAGGCGGTTACTGCCAACATCATTGGTGGAAGGGCTCCGAAAGGGTATTTGGCCACACTACGCTCAGCCACGTCACCCGTGACATTGGCAGTGACCGCCCGGCTTCCTCCATGGTGCCCACGATCTTTAACCAACTAAACATTTCACAGATCATCGTCAAAAATCCGTCATTTGTCGCCACATCGTCTTCCATTCTGACAGTGCTAATCTTCATAATTTTGGCACTGATTTTTGCCTTACTGGTGGTATTCGTGTTTCGGAAGGCGCATTACGCGTGAGTTACAATTTACTTCTTTGCACATCCCGTCTTCAGCTGCTTATTGTTAGCCCCTGTGCACTTTGTGTCCGATTAGACAGAAGGTGTTCACGTTCAGAAACAATACAGCATCGCTTACTAGTTATCCATAGTATCCGTCATACTCGCTTTTTTAGAGAGAGCAAATCAGCAGTGTTTTGCACGCTTCAATCCGCAATAGCGTCAAAGGAACAGTCTATGATGACGGAAAGGGTGGAGACAGTCAGCTGTGTCGCACTTGTTAGTCCACCCTTCCCTTGAAGTTTTGGAAGAGGAGGAAAAGCATGAGCAGGCAATACACCTTCGCTTTTCTGTCTCCGCCCATAAAATAAGCGTGGACTGTGCTTTTAGCGCCAAACCGCTTTGAGAACCTTATGTCGCATAGGTTGCAGCTTCACCTGCACGAAAGCACGCGCGAACAGGGCGTCTCGAGCACGGCGTCTGCTACTCTATGATGGCCTGCGGTTGATCATCTCCGCGAACATCGCGAAATATCGCGTTTTTGCACGGAGATGATCAACCACAGGTCATCATAGAGTAGCAGACGCGTTCCCTCTTTCATTTTGACGTGCTCACCATACCAGCTGGATCACTTGCAGATGGAGAAGTCAGAAGAGAGCTAACATTTGTTGGATGAACAACGCCAACGATACGGGCATCACAATAACTGGCACAATGCCTAGTGGCACAAGGTAGACGCTCACCGCTATTTGCATGCCATCTGTGGGTAGTTCTAACTTTTCTTTATGCTAACTAACCCCTTTCTGCTAACCCCGAAACATGCATGCCGTTAAGGTAACCATGCTCCAGTATTGTTTCAGCAGGCATTACGTCGTTAACGCCGACGCAGAAAAGACGTTTGAACCAACCAAATCACCGGCTCCAAAACGAACTGCCGGTGCCCATCTAGTCCCGGTGACGGTGACCCGACAGGACGGTGCTCCGACTGTATATTTTTGAGTTACCTTCATCATTTTCAACTTTTTTTTGTCACAGTTGCGAATTTTCGAACCAACGAAGTTTTAATGATATCCGGTAATTTTCGAGAAAACACTTGCATCTGAAAATGAGAAAAAAATCTATGTCTGTCCAGCCCATGAATAATGCGGTTCTCGTGCTTTACAAAGAAAACCGTTCCTCAGGGAAGTCTATGAAGACCCTTTGACTTTTTCTGTAGATTTCCGACAGTAGAGGCCGAGCTTAATCCAGCAGAGTCGAAATGACCGCATGTGAATGCCACAGTATTCTACCTCGGAGCCCTGTTTAGAACCAATAAATGTTCAAAGGCAGTGGGCACGATCGCCGGGGGCGGGTGATTGTCGCCACTGCTTATTGGTGAAAAGCTGAGTGGGGTTTGATCAAAAGCACTCTCGCAGCCTTCCGCCAATGACGCTGGCGAACCACCCACCCCGAGCAGGAGTGCTCACTGCCTTTAACGGAACAGAACGACACCATAGATCGAGTCAGATCTCAAACACAAAAATTTCGAAATGTCTTTTGAAAGATGGATTTTTCGGTTCCTTCCTCTTCCTTTACCTTTCTTCTCGTACATTCGAAAAAAGAACTGCATCGTTCACGGGTATACTTGATCTTTTTTGAGTAAAACTATTCGAAAACAAAGCCAGTCTCTTGTTGCTCATCAAACTGACCACCTCCTTTTCGTGTAACGTAGTTTGGCAGCGCAACAGAAGTTCGCAGTTAAAATGCGTCGCTGTGAGACTCGGTAGGCGTGGACGGGGATGCGTGGCGTAGCGCGCGAGCGAGAGCGATCAATAATAGGGTTCAATTTTGATGAAATGGACGCGATGAGGCACAGCTGAGCAGCAGCAAATCCAAGCTCTACTGCGGTGATGCTAGCTCATTCCTCAGATAATTGGCTTATTTCCAATCCATCCTATAGGACGAAAGACCAAAAAAACCCCTTTGTTCGTACTGCTGCTGCCTTTCGCTCGCTCGGAGTCCAACTCATCGATTTTTTTCTTCTGCATTTTGGACATCTCCTTTCAGAACCTTGTCCCAACGCCCAGATCGAGAAAGGCCAAAACCCCGAAACCCCTACATCTGCTCAACTTCCTTCTCTTACATTAAGAAATCTGTTTTTAAAATTGCTCAACTTCAGTTGGACAGCGTTCGGTATCGCCGAATGGGCGGAGCCAGTATGCGACTTCGTTGGTCCGCACCTTCTTTCCCGCGGCCATGAGAAGGCGGGAAGAGGAGACCGCACCAATGACGTCGTTGCCAAGACCCACCCATCGGACAATCCCTAACGGTGTCTTTAATAAAGTATTACTGCAATGAGATCGAACCCGAAATTGTTGTGGTAAAGCATTTGAACTCCTATTTCTGGAATCAACAAAGCTCCGCTATTGTGTCATAATACATTATCACTTACATTATAGTCGAGCCGTTCACAGTCATTTCTAAGCATCTATGATGTTTTGTAATGTACTGGCAACCTACTTTCCTTGGCCTAAGCCATTATGTGCTCGCGCTGTCTAAACACGTATCAGATCTCTTGACTTCTCCTGATGACTTCTTGAATATGCATGTGTGAATGTTGTAAATTTATTGATGAGATGGAAACTGTCAAATAAATATTTAATATTATTCATGCAAAACACACATACAATCATAAATTCTATGAACAAAATATAATCTCTAGAAGAAAATGCGAATAAGTAGCACTAGCCAGGCACAGTATATTAAGAATTCATGGTATGAATAACTCGTCGTTTATAACAATCTCTACAAACCGAGTACCTCTGGAGTTACAATGTTGAGCACTAGTACAGGTAAGTAGCAAATAGCATGACATTCTGCAGGAATAACGAAGTATGATTGGCAACTTTGGTAAAGAAGAATATGACATGAATGTATTGTAAAATAGGTTTTTATGCTCATACAGCCTAATCGACCAACGGCTTCTGGAATTAGCCAAGACCGTTCACATAACCATGAGACTCGGGCGTGTATTGATTGGACATAATGCGCGCGCAACGATGGAAACGAAGTCTAATGCACAACCCGGTGATCCAGTCTAATGATTGGCTGGGCACCCGACATCACTGACACGCCCATCATTCGCTGCGTAAAGACTGCCCGAGTCGCCCACTCAGACCAACTAACCCATTCCCGCAACATCTTTTGGAAACTTCATGTGAACTCACGAGAACTCAGGTTTTCAGAAAATTATGCGCCCTCCAAACCAAGACTCGAAAGTGCTGAGTGGATTTCCAAAGAGTAGTCGCTTTCCATCAGAACGCTTCACACGCTAGGCAGCTTTAAACACTTCTACTGCACAGTACGGCGCTATCTGGACCAGGTCATAGAGGGGAATAGCCTGTGTACAGCTAAAAAAACTCTACACATCAACGTTGTCGGAGTCTGCGTGAAATCTGGTGCACCAGTCGGTAGCTAATGCAAATCAAGACAAGCCACCACCCGAACGCCGCACGCGACGGTCGGCAAGTTACGACTAACTCGACCGTCTCGTCATTCAAACAGTGCCTCTGCCGAATAACCGGAGCTCTCGTTCAATCCAGTCCACCGGTCCACAAGATCGTATTACTTTATAGCATTAACAAGGAAAAGGAAGTATCACAATTTCAGAAAAAAAAGAACAGAAGAAAAGCGCTTGAGTGCTGAAGGTTACACTAGAAATATGCGAAGTTCAATATACACCTCACTTCCCGAAACTGAAGGCAGGAAACGCTGATTGCAACCGAGTCGCACGATTGCAAAGAAATAGGGCACTAAAGCCGAGCTTGAGTGCTTTGTAGAACGGTTTATCTAACAATAGTACACTGATGAAGGCTACTGCAATTACCGTATTACCAAAAGGCCGCAACGCAACCGCTTACCACTGCTTTTGAATTGACCTAAAGTTATTCAAGTAGCGCTTGCCAAGGGATGAAATGCAAGTCCCGACACCCTTCTGAAAATAATCTATCCCGTCATTTTAAAATCGAACAAGATGAAATATCGGCACTATTTTACAAACCCTAGCTCAGTATTTATGAATAAGACCTAATTTTGAAGACAGACATGGCGCTGAGAGGTACTCGAGGCCTTCGGTTTTAGCTCTCGGACAAGACGAATCGCAGTTTCGCAAGCAGGAGTCGTTCGAAGGCATTGGCACAACCGCCGGGGATTGACGGCTGCCGCCAATGTCACTGGTGGAAGGGCTAGGGGGTGTGGCCAAATGCCCTCTGCCAATGACACGGGGTACAACCGCCTGCATTCAGGTTCTCACTGTCTTCAAAGTTCTTTTTGCAGCAATATCACTCATTTTTCAAACGCTGCCGTTTCCCCATCAGAACACTTTTTTAAAAGGGTTGTTCAAACCTAATGAGGTCCGACTTACAATCAGCTCTCAGCACAAATTCTGCCTACAAATATCTTTGGCAAAGAAAAGCCCAAAAGGGCGACCCATGATAGTTGCTATTGAAAGGAATATACTAAATAAAACATCAATAGGATACAATTCTATTGGTACTTGAATACCTACTCAAATAATAGCTTTTACTACATCTCCAATGATGACTAGACATTCCACACGCTGTCGCCATCGGCTGTTTCCCGTTTTTCACCGTTGAATAAATTATGATATCCAGTTGAAACCGACGGACGATTAGCGTACGGTGTCGAGATCTCAGACAGTAATGCTGCTGAGTCCAATATCGTCTGTTCAAATGGACCAGAAGACGTCCTGATAAAAAAGCTTGTTACTGTAAAGCGTCACATTCTGTCAGGAAAGCTTGAGCACCGAAACTACAGTCTGGTCAACTGCGGATGACAGGTCGTAGCGCCAGACACGTTTTCCACCAATTGTTGTCACTTTCCCGCTTCAGCAACTGGTGAAGAACGGGCCTGGCCCGCGCTGAACTCATCCCTTCGAACCTTTATCCACAGTGTACCGAACTATGTTCATATCACTACTGAGTGAAGTGAAAGAACACAGCGAAGCGTGTGGTGGAACCGCATCAGCGAGCCTTAAATACATCGTCCAGGATTGCCCGGAGAGGCGGAGTCAAGGAGCAAAGTGACTGGCACGCCTTCCTATTCCTGCTCTCGCGGCGGTGAAAGTGGGAAGAGGAAGAGCGCACTAATGATTTCATTTCCCAGCACCTTCCATTCAACAGCTCCGCATGGTGCTTTCGGAATCACACTCCACGCTTATCGTATAAGTGTAGTGCATCCCTTATTGTTACTCTTTCTTCCCCAAAACGGTAAAAAAGAACGCTCGTCGGTGTCTGCAGTAGATCTAACTCCGCCTAGATGATCAGCGCGGACTGCTCCTTCGACTCCAAACGCATGAAATTAGCTAAAAAAATAACCGCACCGCCCCCTTGCTGACGCTACTGCACTACTCTCCGTGTCCAATCTTTGCCTGGAATCGAACTATGAATTTTTGTCCGCGACACCTCTCACTTCCGACGCATGTTCCGCCCATGCGATGCGGGGCTTAGCATAGAGTGTGTTCGCTTTGCAAACCTTGTCCTACGCCCTAGCCATCCCAACCCGACCTCTCCAATTTACTACATTAATGAAACCTTTTAGGACAAGCAAACATACAAACAAACAAACGAACAAACAAGAAGGCAGCAAATTTTACATAGTAGGGGGTTATCCGTGATCATGAAGTACACACCTATTGTCCCCTCTCTTACCCAAACCCCGAACGGAATATTGCCTTAGAATGTCGGTCCAAAACCCTCATCCAGTCGCTCTGGTTCCTCATTGTAAAATAAAAATATAGAAAATGGAAAATTCAAGGATAGTTAATATTCACCATCCTGACCTGATGTGCGAACCAGACTGAAGAAGTGAACCAGATGACGAACGAGAGTGATCTACTCCCATTCCGATCAACCTAAACAGGAAAAAACGATTTTCCGATTTGAACCAAATACTTCATTGCAAAGTTGTAAAGTGAAAAAAGTATAGATTTAAAAAAACGATATCACTCACCCTCCAGCAGCGCACATTCGTCCTTTCCGCTTCCGCTCTTGGATTTTCTGGCGTATCTCCTCCATTTTGTGCATACCAAGAGCAGCAGCCTCGTCTTCACGTTCCTTTGCCGTGTTTTCCAGTATTTCGCCATATTTCACTCTTTCTTCATTCAGTAACGTAATGCGACGCTCCTTGAAAAAATTTCGCTTGGAATACCGCAACTAGACAGGACGTTTTCATGTTTTACATACGCTTGTCAGTTTATCATCTTGCATATGGTACTTATGCATGGTGACGCCAGAACAGTATTAATCATCCAGATAGCAAAAGAGTGGCGATGACTTATGATGCGTGCGGTTGCGAGGCGACCATGCTTGTTGGCCAGCGAATGGGCTACGGATTTTTCAGTTTCCAGAAAAAAACGAGCGACAACATACAAAAACATCTGGGAATGAAGAAAGCCATAGATACTGCTCAGTCCGCCCAATGTACTGCCTAGCTTCCGCTGGCCCTGCTGCAACATCCAAGCTGCCACTTTCTTTCAGCACAAGGCGACTGAAATCTCGCATCAAGGCAAGATATGGGGGTAAACTGGGCAGGATAGTGGGTGATCTATTGGAAGATATGGCCGAGATCTCCGCCTGTCCCCCTTTCCTAGGCGTGTATGTCTGTCTTTCTATGCTTGTTTCAGAAGGGTAAGCAAAAAAAAGGATGGAAAAGAATACGGCGCGTCCAAAGGCAGTAGACACGATTGCTGGAGGCAGGCGGCCGCTGCCAGCGTCATTCGTGAAAGGGCTGCGAGAGGCCACACCCACTTAGCTTTCCACCAATGATGCTGGGAGCAACCGCCAATAAAGCCCGCTGTCTTTGAACGAAAACAGTACCTGCGCTGCCTGATCCTCCTCATACTGCTTGATTTTCGACTCCAAATTCTCATTGAGTGCACCGAGGGCTGACTTTTTGCGATCCGATTCTTCTTGTAATCGCCTGAAGATTGAAAAGTATATCAGCTCACTAAAATCAAAACTGGTAAAGCATGGTGATCCACAATAGTGCTTCCTAAAGGCGCTCCTCGTTAATTTGTTCTTCAGACACCTCTCATGGACAATATACATAGCTCTTGCGCAAGCACAGAACATGTACGCTTTCGCAGCTCAAAGGTACTTAAGGAAAGCGCGATTTGCCGCGACAAAGGCGACGCCCCGCCTCACTGCCTAACACGAACCCCAACTTTTATTTCTTTCTTCCTGGGTGGTGCACCTCTACCGCAACTAGCCTTTTACGCTTCCAGTATGGAAATGAGGAGACAAACGCGGAGAACTGATCCCAGCAAAGGAGAACTCGTCCGACCATGCCCTCTTTTCGCCTTGTGCACGTACAAGCTCGATTCGGCATTGGGTTCCATGAAGGGTATTTTGATGACTTTTCCAGCTTTGTTCTCCATTGATGAACCACTTACGTATTTGAGCACATCTCTCTATTTCTGAACGCGGGACGTGCCTATAAGTACTACTACCCACGTATCACAAGAAATGGACGCAACGTTCGAAACGCACGGATTATCGGTTAGGAGCTCCTTTTGTGGCGACGCAGTTTTCAAATGCTATCAAGCGCGCAGCATTCGCGCTAACTGACTGACTGGTTTGGCACAGAAGTGCTGCATGTTGGCGGGTCAACTAGCTAGGACCGTTTTTAGTAATTTCTGCGCGTCGCCGCAACGCGGATCTCCTGAACGACACAGGGACGGACGCACGAGAGGCGCATGAGAATGAATCCAAACTGTTCTTAAATACCTCTGCAATTCAACAACGGTCCGCTCCAACTGTGTTATCCGTTCGTCCTTTGCATACATGGACTTTTTCAATCTGTTGATCGTCTCGTCATTCGAATCGCCACCCAGTCGACTCAGCCGTTTGAGGCTTCCATTATTTTGAGAGAAATCCTTAAAAGACTTTCGGTTCTGCCCACATCCCTCAAGAGGTGTGTTGCCTAGAGAAACCACCCATTTCACTCACTTTGTTCAGCTGCATCTTCAGCTGAGTCATATCCATTTCCCATTGTGTTCGTTCCTGGGCATGTGTTTCGTCACGGGCTTGTTTGTCCAGTAATGTCTCATGAAGAAGACGTTGAAGATGATTTGCTCGTTCAGCAGCTACCGTCAGCTCATCACACACCTTCAAAGAATGTTACCGTTAAAAACATGTCCATCAACTACTCACTATAAAATCTGGTAAGGAGCAGCGGAACAAGGCGGTACCACTTGAAGCGGTCACAGGTCAAACCCGCTTAGTTCAATTATAGGGTTATTCCGCAAGCGCGACACCCCCCCCCCTCGCAGTTGGTGGCGCCGCCAAAGGTCCATTCAACTATTTCCGATAGTTGAAAATAGCAGTTGCTTCCTGAAATCCTCCCTCAACCCCCTCCCCCTCCCCCTCCGCTCGACGGAAAATTTCTTGGGTGAAAAACTGGAAAATGTGGGAAATTTCGGAAAAACTGGTAGGAAGCTGGGAACTTGTAGGAAAGTGGTAGGTAGATGTTGGGGAGAGGGTATCGTATGGAGACTCTCCTTTGAGGGAGAGGGACCTACTGACACCACCATTTCCGACATCACGTTGCTGTACCCATATCCTGATATGTGGAATAACGGTCTCATTGTCAGTACTATCCCCTTCTTCCCTGTCCTAAAGTTGTTATCATCGGAGTCAGTCGTGGGTTTTGGCACGGCGCCAGTATGTTATTTATTGATTGTAGCAGCCTGGAGCGTTCAATAGACGGTGAAAGCGCTCAAATCCACGAGCCGCTGACATACCCCAACTGACTTTAGTGATAACAACTGTACCTACCATCTTTCTATGTTTCCCCAATCTCCTACCAATTTTTCCACTTTTCCAAAATTACAACTACTATGTTCGACTACCAGAAGAAGCAGTTGTATTGTAGTTCTGCAGAGCTGGCAGCTAGGAGAAAAACTATCCCCCCACGACCATGTACAACCCCTTCCCCCGATGGGATTTTCCTAACGATGCAGCGTCCTCACAAGAATGCTGAGTTATGGGCAAAAGTCGAACGCCAGGCGGGAGACGAACCCGCACTCACGCTTTCCGGGCGAGGCTGTCCGTTACGCCACCAGCTTACCCTCTAAACCGAACAGCTTTTGTGCCGTACCCTCACAGCAGCCACATGTTTAACAGCATCGTGGTCTGAATACGAATTTGTAGATGTAAATCAACCAAGCAGGGAGGAGAAAGTTGAAAATTATTACTATAAGAGAAGCGTGAGACGAAGAGATACTGCGAGCACAGGCGAGAGACCATAGACATAAAGTGGGAGAAGAAAGGAAGGCGTATGGGACCACACACACTATCCCACACTCATATCAGTGTAGGGCCGCATATCCGTAGGAGGGGCCGCCAACTCCTGGGTGGAATTACCGTGGCGAATGGCGCTCCCAGCGCACTCCTCACTCACTTTCTAGCCGCAGCAGTGAATAATCTGAACCACTGCATTCCAGGATACCACACAAGAAGGCTAAAAACTATGAGGAAATTGAGGGATGTATCTTTACGTTCTGCGTCCCATTTAGTTGCGCCGTTAGCGTCTGAAACAGCGAAAATGATTGCGTAACATCTGTCAAGCTCTGGGCTAGGCCTGATGGGCACCGAGACGTCCCTTCTGATGAAAACCATAGCGGGCACACGGCACATTCTGCAAGTATTGGCTGACAATGAGTGATGCCGACACTCCATTAGTTCACCTTACAGTGAAAGTACAGTCAAAGAGAATAAAAGAAAATCACAGAGAAACACGAGTAATTATGAGTCGCAGAGAACGTTGGGTAGTATTTAGATGTCGTGAGCCGCGATAAAAAAGATGAATGGCCGATTTAAAAATGGAAACACGAAAACTACATAAAAGATAGTACTCAAAAGGAAAAGACACATGCACATGCAGGAACGTAAAACAGAAGAAGAAGCGCTCGGCGCAAAAGGCTCTGGGATGCAATGCATATGTAATTCCCATTCAGAAAGAAAATTTAGAGCACTTCGACATGGAGGGGCATTTTGCACTTTCGCAACTTCCCATCAGTGCGATGAGTCAGCAAGTGGAGACCTGTCTAATGTTATGTAGCCACGAAGCGATACCAATCAAACTTTGTGGAGACAACTCGTCAACTAATGGTAAGAATATCTGTCCACTCTTGTAAAGCAATGAACATGTAGATGGGAAGTAGCGAAAATGCAGAATGCCTCACTGCCAGCCGCCAAAATGCGCTGAAAATCTATTGAAGTGCAAACGTGCCTCCGCCCCTTCCCCATCTGGAGATTATAAAACCCACTTACAATCAGAATTACATTTCTCGTTAGAAGGATAAAACTCAATGCAATTGAGTAACTTTTTTAGGATGCGCCGTGTACTCTAATTCCATTCAGAATCGATGTGGCGTCTTCGAGCGCAACTTTGCCCGCACAGGCTTGCGGGCCCTGTCAGTGTACAACCAGTATAACTATCTTCGCAGTAATTGCGGAATCTTGTACCGTTTAGCTGACCCTTGTCAATAGAGAGCCTGGTTTGCCCCGAAAGAAGTCGATCTGGGACTGGACTTCCCGATCTCGCCGGTGCTAACTGGTCTCACTTGATGTTACACCACCCAGTTCCAAAGGTGTCACTTTTATGAACCCCGCCTTCTTAATTGCTAAGTGCCCTCCCCCCGTAAAGGCCTTTTATTACAAGCAATATTCACACCAATCACAGTCATGTTCATGTAAATGATAGGGGAGGGAGGGGGCGCCGGGGGAGCGCTGCCGGCGGCTTTTCCACCAATAATACAATCCTAAGTCCGCAACGATTGGCGAAATCTGATCTGGTTGTGCTCCGACTCACGCCCCTCCTCACGCCTTATTCTTGACAAGTATCATAAGCAGACGTCGAGCGGAAGGGGCAAGCGCTCTGGCTGGCTTTAGCCGTGTATAGTGTGTAAGCGCCAACAGTTCAAACAGTTGATTGGTCCGCAATCATACCTTTTCACGTTTCGCTAAACGTTCTTGTGCATTGCTCAATGCTTTTTCAAGCATTGATATGTGCGTTCTCTGCTCCTCAAGCGTAGCGTTTTGAGCTTCCAATTCTAAACGTTGACGTTCTTTCACGGTGACCAGCTCCTTGTCTGAAAAGTAATCATGAATGATTTTTGTGAAACAGCAGTGTCGGTCAGGAGATCCGCGTGCGGAGTCGCGTAAACATGGACCACTGCGCGCAAGATAGCGTGACAACCCAACTTTGCTATGTGCCATACAACATAAATCTGGTACGCGACTTCACTTAAAGACACTCCCCGCGATCAAGTGGTCTTCAAAATGACTTCGCGCCTTTTGGAACCCTCTACGCCTTGATGAAGATGATACCTCTTTCATCCCTCAATAGCGCGCGATAAGAAAGTTATAGCGATTTCGACAAGGCTCGCTAGGCTCACGGAGACGGTAGGTGGACGAGGCGTCGGGTCCCGAGCTGCTTCCGTCCCTTTAACGCCCGCGCGGCGCGTGTTGCGCGCGGCCCTTCTGGCACTTTGCCATCTTCGGTGATCCTCGCTTTTTATAGCGATTAAGCGCAATCCCCGCACCGTTGGACATGAATTGAAGACGCATAGGCTGTTTTAGGGTTCCAGATGGTTTGCAAGCGCAATTCCATTAGGAGGTTGTGAACAAAAGAGCAGCAAACCTTTTTTGAATTTCATACTCTGCAAGCGATGGGAAGGACATGATTGGAAGAGCAGTTAATTCGTTTTCCGTACTCATGGCAAGAGGAGGATAAGAAATGAAGAGCAGTTAGTGTGTTTTTCGAGCTTACCTGTGACTTTCACTAGCGCCACGGTCGCACGGCTCAAGCTTTGTGCTCCAATCGCTATGGAGCGCGCGCCCTTCGCGCCCGACGCACTCGTCCAGGGCTGCTGGGGTGACGTCTGTGTTCAAGGTGTTCCCAAGGTTTTTTCCGCTTCTTTTTCTTCTGAGAAGCTACCTATGGGATACTGGTTCATGACAGAGCCCAACTACCCGCAACACTTGATCGCGGGAATTGTCTTTAACACAACTTTTAACGCGCCGCCTCAAAGTGGATCTCCTGGGCGACACCAGACTCTCAACGAGACAGGAACCAAGGAAATACAGAAAGAAATGATGGTAGTACTCACTCTGAGGTATAATCTCCGCCAAAACCATATTCAACTGATTTACTTTTTCCATTGCCTGGGCGTTTGGCAGTGAAAACTGCTCCAGTCGATCTTGAAGGGCTTCTTTCTCTGAGATCACCCTAAAATCAAATTTGAAAATCAATCGATCTCGAAAACAAGAACCTTCGCTATGCAGACCTAGGAGCGAGCATTTAACTTCTGCTCTACTTTATGGTTTCTATTGGATCACTGGCAGAAGAGTTAATACCATTATTACTAGTCATCAGTTTCTAATGATTAGAGGCACGAAAGCAGTTGAGCAATCTTCAGCGAAAGAGTCGTAATCCAGCCGCTCTGAGGAAGAGCACCACTCGGCCCGATGATAAGGGACTGCAATAAAATGAGAGGACTTGGAAATTTCTCCTGATCCTGCAGTTCCTTTCATGTATACTCCGTTTCTCGTAAAACAGGAGGGTACGTTCCCATGCAAAACAACTGCCATCCTATCTTGTGCTGGACAAAGAAATGCTTGTGATTGTTCGGAAGCGGCATCTTCATACCAAAAGCGCAGCCGCCTTGCTCAAATGCAGTTCGCAGCCACGCCCTTCCCAGCTCTGAGAAATGGAGTCTAGTCAATGTCCTTCCATGCGAAATAGTCGGATTCGCAAACGCGATCCTGTTCTGCTTTAATGAACTGAACATGTGTGGCAAGCGCGCTACAGGCAGTGATAAAGTCCGTGGGACCCCACTCCTGTCCTAAAAACGCCCTTTGCGAATGCCACAGGAAGGGACGTTCCTCACAAATGGAAGCACCAAAGTAACTGACCTTTTCAAATGCATCTCCATTTGAACTAATGCTGACTTTTCTACTCCTTCTTGTCGTTCTTTCTCTCTCAAGAGATTCTCGTAATCTTTTTCTATTCGTTCGTAGGCTGCTTCCATCTAAAGAAAGTGGTTTAAATCTGTGCTATACCAGAAACTACCGAGGAATACCTGTTGAAGTTTTACTAGTTTCTTTTTACTGGCTTCGATTTCTCTTTTCAAATGGAGATTTTCCTCCCGTAATGATTGTATCAATTTCTGGTTGTTCGGTACCTGAATATTTGCACACAGAATAATAAAGTAATGTTACAGGATAAAACATGCCTTTAGCCATAGAATCGATCGATCGGATTTACAATGAACATACTAGTAATCAGGTCGACAACGAATTGTACATATTCAAACTAATGCCATAAGAACCCACCCTTTGTATACCATTTCCACTCGACTGCCCCTCGTGTTGCTCACAGGACCCGAATCCTGACGAAACTCGATTGGGGAACTGGTTAACAGATTGGTGAACATGACTGGCCGAACTGGAATTCAACTTTAGCAATGAATTATTCAACCTTCCCACTGTAAAGGCTGCTCGTGATGCAAATGTAAGCCATAGACTGGCTGTTCGGACCTTTGGTGCAGCTGCGCGCGTGAGCTGGCTTGTGATTGGCGGACCACCGCGACAACCAGTCACAAGCATGCTTCACACCACAATGCTCCAAAACCTAGCTCCGCAGAAAGATCTTCAATCGAGGCAAAACAGAACACCATCGTAACTTACTAATCAGGTGGTTTATCCGAAATAGCGATGAGGCACGGCTGTGAATGGCTCATCGGATGTGATCGACCTGGCGAAGGGGCTATAGATACAGAGGCGACGCCGCTGTAACAGCATTATTGCGTAAAAATGTATTTTCAGGGCAAACTACTGCTCAAAATGCATTTGTTGTGCCTAACAGATTTGTTGTGCCGGAACTTAGTCATCGGCGCGTGCTCAGTACATGTCAACAAGTCCTGAATTCTTGCCATTTTTCTGTGAGCTCAGGACAACGGACCATCCATGAACATTTTAATCGAAAGCAGATTTGTGAAAACAATCCGGAAAATTCGGTTCATGAGCTATTTACGCAAAGGAGGAACAACGTTTGTGGCTCGAAAATGAGTGACGAGGGCGCTGACGTCGTCATTCGCTAAAGTGGCCCCGCCCACCAGTTGACAACCCCATCCAGATATAAAGCAAGATGTTCTCAGTAAGAAAAGACGAGCGAGACAGCAAGTTTAGCTCCACGGATGCTCACATCTGTGCGAAACCATAACTGCTGTCTCGCACGTGTTCCTGCTATCTTACTCTTTGCCTCTGGTATCTCACCCGTACTCGCAGTGTCTCTTCCCCTCTCGCTACTCGTCCAATGCCAAGAACCAGATGAGGAAGAACGTCTATTTGGGGTATTTTTGACTATTGTCACTGATTTTTTTTCTACACTGAGATCTGTTAATCCCCATTTAGACCTACTGAATACAGCTTTTGACACGCGGAATGTATCTAGCGAGCAATCGATAAAATGGAATCCTTTCCAAACCCTCAACGAGAAAGCCACTTTCTGAAGAATAAGTCACGAAGGTTCCACCACAACAACCCCATTAGACACAGAAACGGCCTCAAGAAGGCTATGCATGGAAACTGGAACTCTGCTAAAATGTACGAGCCAGGAAGGACCGTAAGTTAAACCGAGTTGTACTGACTGGCTTTCAATTTTGTTGATATTATTCCTTGACGGCGTCTTGGCTTGTGATGAGGTTGGTACTCGTTGCTGCTGCAGTTTCACTTGACTTTGATATTTTTCTAGCATCAATTGCAATTTCCGATCACCGTCATCACCTGAATCAATAGAAAAATATTGCAAAGTTACAACCCCGTAGTGCGGGCTACTACAGCGCTGATGCAGACTTGCATAAGTGCCCCTCCCGAGGCACCTAGTATTCTATGCCGAAGATGCATTCCTTTTAGTGCTTTGCTTTCCTCCATTACTAACAAAAGAACACACCTTTCATGTGACCCCGATTCTCTGCAGGCCCGGGATTGGAAGAGGCTTGTTGCTGCAGTTGTTGCTGCTCTTGTTGCTGTTGCTGATGCTCCTTCCAGAGACTTTGCAGCATTTTCGATTCGCCAAGATGCATGGGAGACACGGCGTTGATTCGTCGTCCATCCAGCTCAGCTGATCGACCCCGACTATTCCTTTCTGTTGATTCCATACCTGAAAAACAAAAATCTTCCTTGGTATACTCGATAACATCTGATCAGTCGGGGCGGTGTCAGAGAGGGCGGAATGAATCGGCCTCTCAGTGCCTTGATCTACCACTTGTGGCTCGACCCGTACTTCTTGGCACCGCCCCGACAGATTGCGACGATATCAACTGTACAAGGCATGAACTTTGAGTAAGAACAAGATGACGAAAAAACGTAATAATTGATAAAGTGAAGGAGCAACACTTGAGTGAACCCAACAGAGCCTAATGAACACAAGCTTGCAGAGCGAAGCCTGCCTGCGACTGGTGCTTCGCTAGAATCGCAAGTTCTCTCGTATTAACATTCTGCAACCAATCATGCCGATCACGAGCGACACCCATATACAGACCGGTAGAAATGTGCTACAGCATGACTCAAAAATGTGACCCAAGCTGCGCGCGCGAAGTACTCGTGATTGGTGGACTACCTGGGCAACCAATCACATTCGATATAGCGACCCGGCACAGCTACGAATGGGCCATCTGATGTGAGCGATTTGGCGAAGGAACTACAGATAGGAGACCGTTGTATCAAGAAAACGCTGTTTTGCCTCATCATTTTGAACGAGGCGGGTTCAGCTACACGGGGATTTCAATCTCCTGAACCCACACACTCTCTTGACCTGAACTGACGCTAGATTCTTACCAAAACCAAAATTATACTTTACACCTCGCCTCCTGTGGCCCTCACTCAGCTCACCCCATTTCCTTCTAGAATCTGCCGTGATTCCTTTAAAAATCACAGGTGATGTGATATTTCCACTGTCACATGGGCGAGAAGTTATTCAGACAAGGTTCTAGGGAAAAGCAGGGTCATATAAGCAGACTAAGGAGATAACATCAGAGATACGAAAGGGTCAATCAAGCCGTGACGGGGGCCGCATTTACCTTCACAAAGAGAGAGGGATAGTCGCAAATTGAGGTCAGAACAAGGGGTAAAAAGGTGTCGGTGATAGAAGGAGGGGCGCGCTGATGCTCGCTATGTACTGATTTGAATCGAAGTTTCAAACAAAGCAATTCTTCAACTTTTTTGTTTTGCTTAGCGGACTACGAGCAGCAGTTAGTAGCGAAGAAAAAGGAAAATATGAAAATGATCACCTACAAAGAAGCGATGTTGGAAACATGCGAGCGTACGAGTTCAGAAACAGGGAGTTTGGAAATGATTCATTGATTAGCAAGTAACAGCATCGCTGAGCGGAACTCGTCACGGGAAATTTCCGATCGGTGATTTTTCCCGTTTCAGACGCATTATATACTCCTCCGCTCGACGGCAAGATCAGATTTTTGGGGAAGGTCGGTAAGAAATTGTTTTGTAGGATCTCGGAGGTAGTTAAGAAGACTGTAAGGAAGAGTTGTATCAAACAATAGTTCTGCACAACGCGATAAAGTGCCTAGAGCGAGAATAAAGAAGCTCAAATGCAAAATAAGAGAGCTTTTTTAAGTTTAGTGGAGTGGTGCAGTGCCAAACGGTGCCATTAACCACGCGCAGCTGGAGTTCAGATTCCCGAGTGGTCCTCACTCGGGCCAACGAAGCCTTCGAGCCGACCATTATCACACATTCGTACAATACTCGTTTGAGAAGAGAAAAACATACCGTCTCTACATCAGCTGGCCCCTGTTTAGGCCAAATGGAACTCTCAAAGCACTGCGGTTTTGAACGCAGAACTTGCTACGAACTTGCTTCGCATGGACTAGTAGCTTGAACATTTTTTCTAAATTCAGGAAAAAAAGGTTCCGAGAATTGGAATTTCGCTCATGCCACATTTTTGGAGTCCACCTTGTTCGCCAAGTGTCGCTAACCCAACCAAGTCTAGATTTTTAAAAGAAAAACATAGAGGTGCAGTGCACCTGAACCCTGTGGGCGGAGTTAACCCCACCCTCGCACCTTCTCACTGGTGCGACCTTTCTTGTCGTTAGGTGATAATGAAGGGACGCATCAGCGAATGAACACACAACGACAGGTCTGACTCCTCGCAAACGATCAGCATACATTGCCTCACTAACTTTCCTACAGAAACGGCTGAATATTTGGTCGTTCTCGAAAGATGTTCGGGATATTTCGAGTGAGCGAAAAAGCCTGGACTCTTTTAAGAGAAAAAATTTTGGCCCGATTTCGTTGTCAGTTTATCAGATAGGAAACTATTTATGCACAGCTCTCAATAGTCCAGAGCATCGAATTTTCAGAATTATCGGAAGTTTTTAACAGTTTACATTCAAATAGCACTGGAAACATTCAGAATCAATGAAAAGGAAGAGGTCACGTGATGACGTTTCTTCAACTGCTTTAGCGCCACATGTCATCTCATTCACAGTACACAGTTGTAAGCAAAATTACTTCTGCCACAATCGAACGGCGGGCTGGAGGAGATTCAGTGATGTGAAACTCTTTTGGTGAAATGTATTGACGTGTAAGTAACGTGTTAATGACGTAATGACAGCAAAAGATTGGTTAGGGTGCAGAAAATACAAGGGCGGTGGGAGGGGCGGGGGGGGGGGGGATTCGACAAACCGTAGCTTCCTTTTCTGGGGCAAAACTCTCGGCATGTAACTCCAGCCACACGCTATCCTTGAAGGCATATGGCACGATACTTTGGCACTCGATCTAAAATGCTAGCAGGGTGCTACATAGTGGGGAAAATGGCGAAAAAACGAAGTGAAACGGTCAAAAACCTGCGAAGAAAAGCCTTCGTTCTTAATGACTCAGAAAGCAATTATGGACGAGTTCGGATCGATGAAATTGTAAAGATTCCAAAGATAAGCATGCATTTTCAGTACTCTCACATAAAAAATCGTAGAAAAAAAAACTAATTACTCATTATTTTCACAGTGGCACAAATTCGTTCAGGGTGGACCACGGCATGATTGCTAGTCATGAACCAGTGCCCTGTAAGTGGAGAAAGAAGCAAAAAACCTTGGGGACACCCTGAACAGAGATTTCTAGCGGTGCTGGTGCCGGCGCTGGTGCCTTGGATGACTTTGTCAGACGTAGGCAAGCCCAATCAGCAGGATTTGACGTGCAACTGATTCCCGGCAAGAGCACAGGAAATCACCCTACGACGCTCCAGGCAACGCTATGTACACACGCAATTCCGCTTGTAAGCCGTTGTCTTGCAGAGTGAAAGTAATCGTGGTTGCAATGGTTGCAATAATCACGCGTCTCTAGCTTCTTTATCTCGCCGTTTCGAGTGACGAAAGTGGTATATTTTGCGAATGCAAACAACGATGCCAAATGCGCGGAAGCATTTTGCGAACTGCTTAAATGCGGGAACTCTTTGATGAGGCTAATTTTCACCATTGTACATGAATGAATGAATGAGAAACAGAACCATTCACGCAGGCGAGAAAGAGGTAGCACAGTCGTGCAGGGATGAAGGTGGATATTTACTCATTTCAGTCATAATTGGACATAAAGGAAGTGGGCACGAAAGCTGTAGGCGGGGTGGAAAGGCTAATTGTGAGTGGGGTATGGTCAGACGCCCTCTAGCAGCCCCCCCCCCCTCCACCAATGACGCCGCCATAACCGCCCGCCTCCAGGATCGTGCCAGCTGTTTTTGACAAGCGCCAAAACCACCATGGCAGACAGGACCATTCAGTAATAAATCAAATCGTACCCTAAAGAAAAGAATGAACAAAACAAAAAAAACTTAGAAGTAATAATCAAGTAGATGTCAATCTAAGTCTAGACGAAAACAAACAGTTTTACTAATCTAGAAGCGGGAAGCAAAAGTAGAACCCAAATGCAGCCCAGCAGCCGAAAGAATAAAGTCGAAACAGTTCTCAGCAGGTCATTGTATATTTCAAGGCAAACAGATCCTTGAGGGCAACTGAACCACCCAGGAACACAATAGTGACCGTCAGCATACTGTGGGTGTGGCCAGATGAAGGAAGGCGTGGTCAGGCTCAAGGCGCAAGCCCCTGGTTCTTTTCTAATTATTTCCGCGTACTTTCGAGTTACGAAGTGATATGATATGTGTGGCTTGCACCTGCTAGTCGCTTATACATGAAGAAGCCTTATAAAACAGGCAATTGCGGAATATGTCTTTAATTCCGAGCGAGCGCAGAATATACTTAGGAATCTGAAAATCGTCTCCCCCTAAAAGTGTGATTCCCACAAATTCACTTGGTCCAACGTTGAATAGGAATAAAATGTGATCTGACCAGGTCACACAGAATTGAGAGAAAGAACTAAAATAGTGCCTCACAGAATAGTAGGCCATGCTTAACTAAGCTAAAATAAGCGCCAAAAATTTCAAAAATAAAATCGGAAGGTTGAGATTGCTGCACTGGTAAGTAGTCCTACAGGTAAGCGGAGACGCTATTACAGTAACATCGTGCACTAGCCCTTTGCCGTTCTGTACGACGACAAATTCTAAAATCGACGAGTTTAGGGGCGGAATAATATGCTTTTAATTCCTGAAGGTATTCCCTAACAAGGAATTTATAGTTTGGAATACATATCAACAAACAGCTTCGCCCACAGAAAAAAAGTAAATGCTGGGAGAAATGGGAGAAACCTTGTTGGTTGGGGTACGTGACAAGACAATCTGGCGGGCGTCGCGTGCGACCGCGTCCGCAAATGAGGACGTTTCCAGGTCGAATATGGCGGCGATAGACAATCAAAAATAGGCATAACTGTCTACGATGGCGAAGTGTACATGAAATCCACTGCTCCAACCACCAGACCAGTGCAAATTAAGGAAACGCCGTGTCCATCGCCGCGCGCGACGTTGCGGCAAACTCCGATTGTCCTGACCGTTGGTTGGGGGACGCCCACCGAGCAGGGCACATCGTTGTTGGGGAATCCCCAATAGGGGGGTCGTATTTGGCCGCCAGGAGAGGGGGGTCGTATTTGGGCTGGAAAAATTTATTTTGATAGTTGATTTTTCTCGCTTCACGGACGTTGTAAAGGGGGGGGGCGTGTACTTGGTCATTGTTGGCCCTTCTCGACAGCAAAATTTTTTGGGAAA